AAACAAGTTCTCGAAGCATTGCACGACGACCCATCAGCTGGACACTTGGGATTTCGAAAGACCTACAACCGCGTTAGGAGCCGTTTCTTCTGGCCTGGTCTTTCTACCTTTGTGGCTAATTATGTCGCTTCTTGCGCACTTTGTCAACGCCGGAAACGACCAACTTCAGCTCCTGCTGGCTTATTACAACCCATTCCATGTCCCGACACACCTTTTGCCGTTGTCGGAATAGACCTCGTCGGGCCACTTCCCGTAACGCCAGCGGGCCACCGCTGGATCGTCACAGCCATCGACCACCTCACACGATACGCGGAGACCGCTCCTCTACGCACTAGCTCCGCCTCAGACGTTGCCGCCTTCTTTTTAGAAGCCATTGTGTTGCGTCATGGTGCACCTCGCACGTTGTTGAGTGACCGGGGCAAGGCCTTCATGTCCACAATTCTTGACGAAATTCTAAAAACTTGTGGCACACTTCATAAGACCACATCCGCTTACCACCCGCAGACAAATGGGCTGACAGAGCGATTCCACCGGACTCTAATCGACATGATATCCATGTACATCGGACCGAACCACGATAATTGGGACAAAATCTTGCCGTTTGTAACATTTGCACACAACACCGCTGTTCAACGAACCACTGGGTATTCACCTTTCTTCCTCGTCTATGGTCGTGCGCCGACATTCAATGTAATGACAAAAACGTCGACGACTACGCCAGAACATTTCGTCTCAAGGCTTGCTGAGGCACGGCAACGTGCTCAACTCAACACGGAGGCCAGTCAAGAAGACCGCAAGCAACGCTATGACAGCTTTCGTCGAGACGTCACCTTCCGTCCTGGAGATGAAGTACTACTTTGGACGCCTGTTCGCACACCCGGATTGTGTGAAAAGTTTCAGTCTCGCTTTCTAGGACCTTACGTTGTTTGTGAAAGAACATCTCCGGTCAATTACTTGTCACTCCCGTCGAGGGTTCCTCGGACCGAGATTGTCTACGTGACTGCCTCCGAGATTGTCTACGTTTCAGGTCTTAAACCCTTTGTGCGCCGTACCTTTCCCGCCTAAGTCTCGGTCGGGCCGGCCGCTCAAGTGCGCGGGGAAAATAAGTGTGAGCATTATATATCCGTCCCATCTTTTTATCTGTAAATACTCATCCTCACCAGTCATGTTTAGGTTGTGGGGCACATGCTCGAGTCAATAAAAGGAGAGTCTCGAGTGTTCTCGACGCCATCTTACAATATATATATATATATATATATATATATATATATATATATATATATATATATATATATATATATATATACGACTGGTGCTTTTGATATAAAGCGGCAGTGGTTTGCACCACAAGATGACGCAAAGACGCTGAGCGGTGCCCCATCGGCGATCTCGGCGCGAACGCGCAGTGAAGGTAAAAGCACTCATCACTTCTGACAGTAGCAGCAAAAGGCTAAAGCGGCGCGTTCGCCTTCACGAGCGCGCCGCACTAGCGTTTCGCTCAACCTCCTTGGCCGGCGCTGCAATAGCACACGAGTGGAGAAAAGCCAATGCGAGCCCCACAGCTGGGCGTCTTGATGCGCGTTTACGCACTCATCGTGGCACACTACAATCGACATGAACTCGGACCTATCATGCGAGCGATCTGTAATCGATATTATTAGACTCTTAGGCAGCTCAAAGACGCTAGAGTGATCTTGGCCGAGCTTTAAGAAGCACCCTATCACGTGAGCCCCATGTGAAGCTACGCAAATGCACAAGTATCGTATAGAACTTGCGCACTGCTGTACCACGTGTTGTGCCGTTGAAACCGCTTGTTTGCGTTTCCACGTAAGCGTTCAGTATTTGACTGGCAGCAGAGCCTTGATAAGCCTCCGCGCACGGTAACGTGCTCTCTACGTGACTGCTTTTCGCACACTTGCATCCAGGCCCTGCTGCTGCGTTCTCGGCAGGAAGTCTTGCAAGTGGCGAGGTCCGCTGCAGAGGCTCGTGGGACACATTCTCGGCACGCACGACTTTGTTCCGAGATTACAAGGTGGAGTATCGCATAGAATGTACGCACAATTACAGCGCCAAGCCGATAACCTGGCTTGTATTCATTTATGAAAACCAACCGCGCCGCATTTCACGAGACGGATAGCTTTTGCGAACTTTACAGGTCTTTGTGCTTGCGAAGCGCGGCAGGGTAAGGAAAAATACCCCCACCTCTCCGAAGGGAGCGGTGAGCAAATGCGAATGCATTTCTTGCGCCGGGAGATTGTACCGTTGCCATTAGACATTCGCCCTCACCGACTTCTGCCGTCGTCTTGAGAGACACCCAGCCGGCGAAAAGTCTAGAGCGAGGCGCAAGCAGACGGAAGAGTGGGGTGCAGGGAGGAGAGAGAGCGAATAGCGAGAGACCTCGCTCACCTTCAGAAGGTAGGTGCAGAGACCCTGACCTAACCTTCTCCTAAATGCTCTCCCACCACATGCTCTGGTTGCAAGGGGCGATGATAAGCGGGCGCGCCCGCAGTTGTTGCTATAGAAGAAGGAGTGAGAGCGGAGAGACAACACCTGCCGGCGCGCAGACACCGCCACGGATCATGCCAGATGCCAGACAGAGTCCGACTAAGAAATACATTCGCATAAAAAACAGACTACACAGAGTTATGCACAGAGGTAGTACGAGCGAGTGAGCGAGTGAGTGAGGGAAAAAACTTTATTTCGAGATCTGGCTAGTTGTTTGTCCAGGTCAGACCACTTAGATGGAGGACGGAAGACCTTGTGCCAAAGTAATATCCCAGACCTTCTGGATATGGCAGGATCGGTCCTATACATCGTAGCTGAGCAGAGTTTTCTGCCATCGCTCTCGCATAGGTTCTGTGAGGTCAGCTGTTTGGGACACCCTCTTATTATGCTTAAGGAGTCCTCTTCAGTTCACAAAGCATACTTTACGTTTATGTACCTTGCACGCCCCGCCGTGATGTTCTAGTGACTAACGTACTCGTCTGCTGACCCGCAGGTCGCGGGATTGAATCCCGTTTGCGGCGGTTGCATTTTTGATGGAAGCGAAAATGATGTAGGCCTGTGTGGTCAGATTAGGGCGCCCGTTAAAGAACCCCAGATAGTCCAAATTTCTTGAGTCCTCCACTGCGGCAGCTCTCATAATCATATGATAGTTTTCGGACGTTAAACCCTTCATATCAATTATGTACCTTGCACGTGACGTCATGGATGCAGCTGCTGAAAGTACTCCTACTCGACGATGGCGCCTTTTATTACAAACAAGTTGCGGTTATTCGGCTTGAATGTGATAAAATCGTACGAGAGGTGCCTGCGTGCGTAAATAACGATAGAACTGGCACGTGACGTTTTGATAAGATAAATGTGACTTTTCAAACGTCAAGTCTTCAGTGACTTCAAGAAAAGCCATCTTCAGAGCATGGGCCACGCTGTAAGAATTATTCTTACACCATGGTCTGGGTAGTGTTACGAAAACCTCATGTGTAGCTAAATAAGAAGAAGATAGGATTTATTTTGCAAACTCGGCCACTCCTCAGCCTGTTTCCTATCTATTTTAGGGTAGCGTGAATGAGATACTCCAGAATACACCAACACGTGCAAAATTTACTTCACAAGACGTTTTCGGAGATGACTTTCCTTTACATTCGTCGAGATACCGGAAATTAAGCGTGTCTGCCATCTGCAAACACAGACATGGATATCTTTACAGTGTATACCTTCTTGACGGTGTAAGCGAGTACGAGCGACGGAAGAAATTCCAGCTATTTTAGTGACATTGAAGGAGTATACCAAGCGAGTAGCACAAGAAGACATGAAAACAAAACCAGAGGCCGACGATTTTTTTTCCTTGGGATACTCTCTTGTGTCATTGTTTGCACGCTTCACTTTCTTGCACGAGTATATTTTAATTTCTGGTAGGTATGCAGTGAGCCTCGCTGAAGCTGGCGAAGATTAGGTGATTTGAAGCCTTTGCATAAATCATTATTCCCTAGCCGTTAAAGAAATTGCGTGGTACAGTCCCATCCTTCAATACGCGTGGCCGTTGGCTGGGCAGTAAATAGTAACCCTGGTCACCATGCGTATTATTTAACGCTTTTATGAACGGAGTGTATGACCATTGTTGTCGGACGAAATCTATAAACTACCCAACCCAATCTAACCCAACCCGGCCGAAAGTAAACTGCACACGATCTGACCAACTAATCAACAGAGCATTAGGCGATCCGTGAATCTGTGTGATAGGTAGAAAGACATGCCAGTAGTCTGATGACCAACCGACCATGGACTAATGATCAATTGGTCAGTCAGGGGCGTCAAATGACCATCGAAGATTTGAGCTAGGAAAGCCACAAGGACCGCCCAACTAACAAACGACTAGTGTATAGACCGTTCACCTGCTTGTAGTTGGAAAGTTGGTCGCGGCTAACTTAATAACTGGGCAGTGTCCGGGGCTGGTCATGTCCGTCAGACCAACGAACGGATGAACCAAGTCGCTGAGAATCAACAGACACGATTTTGAATGGACGCAATGTCAATCGAACCGATAGATGGACTAACGAACAAATGACTCATGGTTGGTCGAGTGACCGTTTGTCTGCGGCTGGTCAAACTGCCAGACAGACCATTCAATGGGCAACCGACTTGATTAGGGACATCAGTACGTCACCCTTCTCTCGGAGAGGTTGCGGGCTTACTTGTCACAATTGACTAACCAACCGACGATAACTCAACCGATTAACCGGTCTACTAAGCAATCTACCAGCTAATAAAACCAATCAGGCCACACTTGCAGCCAAGCAAATCAAGCCTAAACCCAAATTGAGTCCTATTTGAAGTCGATCTAATCAATCTAGCATCTGCCAAACGGCCAGGCTTGCAGATTATGCTGCCATTTGCATGATGACTTCGTAACTGTAAAAGCAGTTAAACCAGGACACATGTAGTTCGTGTACACACGTCTTTTAACTAAGTGCTCCTTTTCCACGCAAATTAACGTACAGGCGAGAACGTGGTCGTGACGGCGACGAACTGCCGGCGCGTCGAGGCCTTCTGCTGGGTGGCGCTGCAGACGTGCCTGGGCCGCGACTTCGTCGTTATGCTCAGGAAGAGGAACAACAGGGCCTCGAGGAACCGCTTCTTTGGCGCCGTACTGCTCGTCGGGTCGAGCGAGGAGGCGCGACGCTTCCTGTACCGGTTCGAACTGCGCGGTGCCGAACACCGGCTCTCGTGGTCAGCCAGGACCCGGAGCCTGCACTCGCAGGCCGACAACGACCGGAACGGAGACGGCCTGGTGTTGGACATGAGCACGGCCGAGCGCCTCTGCAATGGCACCGACCTCATCATGGACGTCACCGTCAGCGTCGCCCCATCCTTGTGCGGTGATAACGTGCTGTAAGAAAGTCAGAGCTATACGGCCGTCAGCGAAAGGATTCGCAAGGCAAAATTGAGGGGAGGTTGATAGTCGTAATTATTGGTGTAAATGTATTTTAGTATACGTATGTCTGTGTCGCTGTATTTAAATCTAGCTATTTATTGTGGGGCAGAGGTGTAGTTTAAAGGTGGCACTTGGAGAACGTGCCTCTACTGCCCAGTGTCGTTCTCCTGCCGAGGGATGCAGATCACAAGACGATCATTTAGGCATTTGGGCGAAGTCGATCAGTACATATTTCTGAACTAAATGTAACACAAACGCGCAAGATGCCCCACACAGAACCACAATAACCTGCTCTTACCCCCGGACTAATCAAGATCTTTCATACACTGCAGCCCTTGGCAGGGTTATTGCAGAAAGCAAGAATATTTCTTGTTATATAAAACAAATAGTTCTCAACGATAATGTAAAAGACCACAACCAAAATGGTAGTACTTTCATAACAGGGCTTCTAGAAAATTTGACTGGGCTAATCTATGAACAGAACCGCGTAAATTGTTCCAGCTTTCAACAACCCTTAGGTCAAATAACTGAAGTCAAGAACATGTGTGTGAAAAAAAGGCTGAGATAACGTCAAGTTGAAAGAGGGTTTACACGCGATATAGAATCATCCGAATATAGACAAGATGAATTAATAATTTATTTCATTAGTATTTAGTGCACACAATTATTTGTTGTGTTGCTCTATAGAACTAGGCTTCGTGCCTTGGCATGACTTGGTGTTATTGGGGTTCATTTGTGAGGCCCACGGGCCGGCATTTTGCTCTCCCTTGTAGAGTACGAAATACTCTAAATTTTTAAAAACTTTTTCTATCCACATTGTGGTTTTTCATTTGCAGCAACTGTACGGACGTATTGTACGGACGTAACAATGTACAACGAGCAAGTTATTAGAAAGAACCAATTGAGATGCAGATGATGTCGATAACAACCTAATTATGTAAGGAAGAGAAAAAATTCCCAGCATATCTACGCAGGGAATGATGAAGAGTGGGGTGAAGCGTCCGTCTGTCTGTCCGTGCTTCCATCAGTCCGTCCATACGCCCGTACATGCGTCGTAGCCGGACAGACAGACGCACGTTCTCATGAACGAATGGTCTGATGAAAGCATGGATGGGTGAACGGACGCACGGCCGGACGGATGGATGGACGAACACATTGACGTATTGACCAACATAAGCACGGAAGCATGGGCGGAAGCAAGGACGGCGGACAGACGAACGGACGTACCCATGGAAGCACAAACAGACGGACGAACGTACTGACGGACGGGTGATCGGACAGACGCATGAACGGATGGATGGACGCTTCACCCACTCATCATCATTCACTCCGTACTGTATCGAAAACCACTAACTTCATCTAGTTACATTCTTACCAAGGACATATACACACAACATCTATTGACCAACTCATAAACTAGTGATGGCAACAAACTACTACTACTACTACTACTACTACTACTACTACTACTACTACTACTACTACTACTACTACTACTACTACTACAGTGGTGAGAACGACCCATGGTACGGAGCAAATACTTCTTTTTCCGTGACCCACGGCCTAAGGAGGTTTCTTCCTAAAATAGCTGGAGTAGGCGATATTAAAAAAAGCCTCCACCGTATTTCAGTATCTAAGTAGTGTGAAGAAGAAAACGCATCGTTGGTAAGCAACATCGCCACCGCTTGGGTACTGGGTGCTGGGCTTCTCTGGCTCGGCTCGTGCTGATCATCGCCGGCATCTGCTTGACCGTTGCTCTTGCCCGATCGTGTTTCATCGTTGGACCACCGTCGCAACAGTCGCCAATAAACCCTTTTTCAATTGGTGGAGGGTGCTGACATTCCCCGTCGCCTGAACCTGGGTGCTGCCATTCGCCGTCGCCTAAACCTGGAGCTGCGCAACCGAATGCTACCTCCCATCATGGCTACCAACAACGCGCAACCTGGCTCTTCCACTCCATCCCCCAGCAACCCCGGCGTTCTTCGTTTGCGAGAGCCCAAAGTCTTTAGCGGAGCTGATGAGACCGACGTGGAAGACTGGTTCGCTAACTACGAACTGGTGAGCGCAAACAACAAGTGGGATGACGCGGACAAACTGACCAACGTCATCTTTTACCTCACTGACGTGGCCGAAATGTGGTATAACAACCACAAAAACGACATTACGACGTGGTCCATCTTCAAAACGTCGTTTGCTGACGTTTTCGGCCGACCCGATGTCCGCAAGTCCAGAGCCGAACAATGCTTGAGGACTCGCGCACAGAAGCCATCTGAATCGTTCACCAGTTACATCGAAGACATTATTGGTCTTTTCAACCGTGTGAACAACGCCATGCCCGAGTCGGAGAAGATTCAACACATCCTCAAAGGGATAAATGACGGCGCATTTCAGATGCTCCTGGCGCGAAATCCTGCCACCGTTGCGGAACTTGTGACCTTATGTCAAAGTTTCGACGAGTTGAGGAAGCAGCGCGCCCTGACTCGGCCATTTTCCTCACACGCTGACTCACTATCTAGTCTTCATTCTGTTCCTGATTACTCAACAACCCTGCAAGAGATCAAAGACTTTGTGCGTGAAGAAGTAGCTCGGCAGCTGTCGTTGATTCCCTTCACACAGCAGCCGCCGTCCTCTCGTCTGCCCTCACCACTCCGCGACGTTATTGCCGAAGAGGTAGCTCAGGCTGTTCCCGTCGCTACCCACCAGCAGCCTGTGGCCATGCCTGTTCCCCACGCGCCAGCTATGCAGCCCGTGGCCGCACCTCTTTCTTATGCCCAGGTGGTACGCAGCAGACCCCGCCAGCAGCTTTTGCCGCCCATGCCTGCAGTTGCTCCCCACTCTACCCCTCTTACGACACCTTGGGCCGCACCGCGAGTCAGCAGTTCCCTGCGCACTGCTGACAATCGACCGATCTGCTACGCCTGCGGTGCTCCAGGACACGTGGCACGATATTGTCGTCGTCGCTTCCAATCGCAACGCAACGCTACTTGGCCGTTACCTTATGACCCGCAGCCCACGCACCTACCTGCTCCTTATCCTTCACCGCAGTATGGCTACACTAATCTTCCCGAGTCTCAGTCACCCCAGCCCCCAGCTCCGACTCACTCTCCTCGCTCGCCGTCTCCTCGCAGGCAATCTCTCTCCCCAATGCGTCCCCGACCCGCTTCCTCCAACCGGCAAAACTGAACGCCGCAGTTCCAGAGGCAAGAACTGCGCCGTCATCGAAATGCCCAAGTCCTCGCACTTCACCTGCTAACGTCGTCGCCATATCTGTCGATGGTGTTTCTACCTTTGCCCTCATCGACACAGGTGCTGCCGTTTCTGTTATAGCCGCCCAGCTCTGCCGCTCCCTACGCAAAGTGACCACGCCGCTCTCTGGACTATCGCTTCGTACGGCTAGCGCACAACCAGTTCGACCTCTCGGCACCTGTACAGCCCGCATTTTCATCCAAGGCTCTGTGTACGTTGTCGAGTTCATCGTCCTTTCGGTCTGCTCGCATGACGTTATCCTCGGGTGGGACTTCCTGTCACATCATCATGCCGTCGTCGACTGCGCACGTGCTGAAGTTCAATTTTCGCACCTGTCTGACGAACCTTTGCACGAAACTCTTGAGCGGTTCCCAAAACTCGTCGTACGTGAAGACACTGAAATTCCGCCAGCGTCTCTTGCCGTTGTCCCTGTCTGCTGCGATGACCATAATGACGCTACAGTAATTTTTACACCTTCCGACATTTTCATGAGCCGCAGAGCCGTTTCCTTGCCTTTCGCTACACTCGACGTCACTGCGGGCCGAAGCAATATTTTCGTCCACAACCCCCTTTCTGCACCGCTTACGCTACTTGCCGGCGAAAGTCTCGGTCGAGTGGAGTACCTCGATTCCTCTTTATTCCTTAACATGCCAGACGAATCGTGCAGTAGCGCCTCGACCGAGCTTCATGCCCTTTCCCCACTGGAATGCTCATCTAGTGACACCTTCTCGAGTTCCATCGCCGACACCTTAAGTGCCCATGAACGCACCGAGCTTCTTAATCTCCTCCAGCACTTCGCGAATTCATTCGACGTTTCTCAGCCGCAGTTGGGTCGGACTTCCGCAGTGCACCACTACATTGACACCGGTTCGCACCAGCCATTGCGTCAAAGACCGTACCGTGTCTCGGCTGCAGAACGTCACGTCATCAGCGACCACGTCGAAGAGATGCTACGCCGTCGCGTTATTCAACCATCGCACAGTCCTTGGGCATCTCCTGTCGTTCTAGTTCGAAAGAAGGATGGATCGATTCGATTTTGCGTCGACTACCGACGACTAAACAAGGTGACGCGGAAAGACGTCTATCCATTACCGCGGATCGACGACGCCCTTGACAGCCTCCAAGGAGCCGAATTCTTCTCCTCCTTAGACTTACGATCTGGATACTGGCAGGTTCCTATGGCAGAAGCTGATCGCCAGAAAACTGCGTTCATTACACCAGATGGCCTGTACGAATTCAACGTAATGCCATTTGGGCTTTGTAATGCTCCTGCCACGTTTGAACGAATCATGGACAACACACTGCGTGGACTGAAGTGGTCTGTGTGTCTATGCTACCTCGACGACATTGTCGTTTTCTCTCCCGATTTTCCTACACATCTGCTTCGGCTCCAACTGGTTCTGACGTGTTTAACCAACGCTGGGCTCCAACTGAACCTTAAAAAGTGTTGCTTCGCCGCGCGAGAGCTGTCCATCGTAGGGCACATCATGTACAAGCATGGTGTTCGACCCGACCCTGCAAAACTGCGAGCAGTCGCTCAGTTCCCGAAACCTACTACACTGAAAGAAATACGCAGTTTTGTCGGACTATGCTCTTACTTCCGGCGCTTCGTGCGAAATTTTGCGACGATCATGTCACCACTGACCAACCTCCTACGCTGTGATGCAGACCTTTCATCCTGGTCTTCTGACTGCGACGTTGCGTTTGCCACGCTCCGTAGTCTGCTAACATCTCCTCCAATTCTTCGGCATTTCGACCCAACAGCTGCAACGGAAGTTCACACAGACGCTAGTGGGGTTGGTCTAGGCGCCGTCCTCGCCCAACGCAAGCCGGGCTACTCCGAATGCGTCGTCGTTTATGCGAGTCGCACACTTACTAAAGCTGAGGCCAATTACAGCGTCACCGAAAAAGAGTGCTTGGCGCTAGTGTGGGCGCTTCGAAAGTTCCGCCCTTATTTGTACGGTCGCCCATTCGACCTGGTAACGGACCACCATGCACTTTGTTGGCTCGCCACATTGAAAGATCCTTCTGGCCGCCTAGCTCGGTGGGCACTGCAAATACAAGACTATGACATTCGTGTCATCTATCGCAGTGGACGCAAGCATTCTGACGCCGACGCCCTGTCGCGTTCGCCTTTACCTCCCGACTCGGCCTGCGGAACCACTGGTACCAACTCCATCACATCTCTCGACCTCGACTCCTTTACCAGTGAACAAAACAAGGACCCGTGGATCGCTTCCCTTTTAAACTGTCTCTCTGGATCGTCAACCACTGCGGTACCACGATCTCTCCGTCGTCAAGCTGCTCATTTCGCCATTCGTGATCGGCTGCTACACCGACGCAACTACGCCCCCGAAGGTCGTAAGTGGCTCTTGGTTGTCCCGCGCAGCTTGCGATCACAAATCTGCGCCTCCTTTCACGACGATCCTCAATGTGGTCATGCCGGAGTTTTCAAAACTTACGAACGCATTCGCCATCGCTTTTACTGACGCGGAATGTATAATTTCGTTCGAAAATTTGTTATGGCCTGCGCTGACTGTCAACGCCGCAAATCACCGCCTTTCCACTCGTCCGGTGCGCTTCAACCGCTTCCGTGCCCTGCCAAACCTTTCGATCGGATTGGAATTGATCTCTATGGCCCTCTACCGACAACATCAGATGAAAATCAGTGGATCATAGTCGCTGTGGACCATTTAACACGCTACGCTGAGACCGCCGCCCTTCCAAGTGCCACTGCGCGGGACGTAGCATCCTTCATCCTTCATCGCTTCGTACTACGACATGGTGCACCTCGAGAACTACTAAGCGACCGAGGTCGAGCCTTCCTATCAGAAGTCGTCACGTCTCTGCTTTTTGAATGCCATGTCGTTCATCGAGAGACCACGGCATACCACCCGCAGACTAATGGGCTCACGGAAAGATTTAACCGCACCCTTGGCGATATGCTCGCCATGTATGTGACATCCGATCATACTAACTGGGATCGCATTCATCTATTAATCACGTTCGCATATAACACCGCGGCACAGTCTACTACTGGATTGTCACCTTTCTTTCTTCTTTATGGACGCGAACCATCCCACACCATCGACACTCTCCTTCCATACCGTCCTGACGCATCCGAATGCCCATCTGTGTCCGAAGCTGCCCGAAATGCGGAAGAGTGCCGTGAACTCGCACGCACCTTTACGTCACAAGAACAACAGCGCCAGAAAGAAAACAACGCCGACTCTTCACAAAGCCCCAGCTATTCCCCGGGATCACTTGTATGGCTGGCTGTTCCTTACCAAACCCCCGGCATTTCCTCAAAACTCGTTCCAAAGTACGAGGGCCCATACCGCGTTTTGGAGCAAACCTCGCCGGTGAATATTCTCATCGAGCCACTTTCCCCGTCTGACGACATGCGCCGGCGTGGACGTGACATCGTCCACGTCGCCCCCCTTAAGCCACATCATAGCCCTCTGCCTCCAGACTCTTAAGTCGCCAGGATGGCTCTTTTTTGGCGGGGGCAAATTGTGAAGAAGAAAACGCATCGTTGGTAAGCAACATCGCCACCGCTTGGGTACTGGGTGCTGGGCTTCTCTGGCTCGGCTCGTGCTGATCATCGCCGGCATCTGCTTGACCGTTGCTCTTGCCCGATCGTGTTTCATCGTTGGACCACCGTCGCAACAGTCGCCAATAAACCCTTTTTCAGTAGGAACAACAGTGGAGAGAAGATACTAAATGGTGTGAAGACGCTTATCCTAATGACTACAACACTAAATAAATACCAAAATGCTTGAAAAATAGTTGGTATATTTATTGCACTGCTGTGTGTTGGTACGATAAAATTGCGACAGCTTGGTCGTTGCGAAGCAGCGCGCAATTACCACCTTGCGACTTCCAAGGAATGTTACGAAGACCAAATAACCAAAGTTGCGATAAGATCATGGGGGCAGGATTTTGTTACAGGTGGAGTGCGCTAATTGCATATGTCGATGCGGACGCACGGATGACAACCACCAGGTTTTTTTCGGTAGAAGCCGATGGTGCAGACACATATCACACCTGAACGAAGACGGCACCGTGACGGCCTCTGTTGATTGGCGTTCATTGCGTCACTGCCGCAGTAAGCTTCGCAGGTATTGCATTTGCCACTACACCTTGCTTCCTGGTTCGGCCCACAACCATAAGCGTGTGCTGCACAAAAAGAAACAAGAATGAAGTGCGGGAGGTTAATGGGAATATTCGCAGTTCGTTATCTTGAACAACGAGAAAAATCTCAATGATTTTACATCTAAAAAAAGCGTGTTATTTTAAAGAAACCTACGTTTAATATTGCGCAAAGTTGTTGGCGAATAATCTAGAGGGTGGGGTCGTGGCTTATACCACGATAACACTTACGGTGCACCAAAGGGTTCGTGCAGTTGGACGAGTTGTACCCAACTAAAAAAACATTCCTCGAATTCACTCAATAGAAAAACACTAAAATATCATTGCATCTTGACCAAGACTATCACAGCTGAAGTAACAAATTAATATAGTACGTGTTTGACGATTTTAAAGTTATTGTGACTTCCCGAATTGCGCGTGTCTAACGTGTTAACATATGCCGCAGAAGTGCACATGTGACCGGCCCATTTGCGAGAGCCAATTTGAATAAACGCGCACACAATGCAGTGGCGGTTGCGTTGTGGACGCATTTTGCCAGGGAAATATGTAACTCATAGAGCCTTCGCTTAAAAAGTTCGCCTAGGCGCACAGTGCTTATTAAACGAGTGAACGCACTAGGCTGGAGTGATCCCTTGAAGACGTCAGTAATTGATAACAATAATACTATCTGTTGTTTTACGTCCCAAAACCACACGATATGATTATGAGAGACACGCACCGCTTATTAAATTACATTTAAATTACTTCATTCTTGTGTTGCACTACAAAAATAGTTGGTAGAGCAATGTATAGTACCGCCCGCTTTAAAGGGGACAATCTGATGAGAACCTATCATATTGCGGGTCTCATGACTGCAAGTAAACGCATGAATATCTTTGGCGCTCGGCACCAGCTTAGAACAGTCACCCAGCAGTATTCTTATGCAAATCTGAGCTCTATACTTTTGCCACATAGTGAAATCCAGACATGCTGCGCACGAAAGTGTTCCCTTTAACTGTGAACCCCTCTGTAAACACGCACTTCTTGCTGTGGTAAGTAAGTATCTGAACTACGTGGGCTACTTACGCCGCGCGGAGGTCGTTCCAAATACAACGAAGGCAACCACAGCGAAAAGCAGTATTATCTGTTCTTTATGACCACGACGTGACATGTGTGAACTTCGGTAACGATAAATATCGTTTTCGCAGGTTTGCACCATCTTGTTCAGAAAACTTGCTGTTCGATTGTTCGGGAAAAGAAAAATGATCACATTGTTGTAACAGACCAGCTAGAGACCTTTGCTTGCAGCATGTGTGCATGGAATTGTGGTGGAGGTGAGTTTCGCGCGTAAGAACAATAAACATCGTCCAAGTATGGAGGCCGTATAAGGTGCCTATATGAATGGGACAATAAAAATAAAAGCATTATCTTTTGCAACAATAAATCATCATTTTAAAATACCAAAGTCACTGCTCTTGCCGCTTGAAGATCGCTTTGTAAGCGAAATATTGTGCAAACAAAAAGGTCGCTTTGTCCTAGAGACAAAGCTCCGTTTTTATTCTCTCTCTCTCTATATATATATATACATATATATATATATATATATATAATATATGATGGACCCACGTTGGTTGCTGCCCAGGGGTTTACCATTCGCCCTTCCGCTTTCTGTACAGCCCGTGTTTTTATTGATGGTATCCGACACCACATTCAGTTCGTCGTCCTGACTGACAGCTCTCATTAAATACTTTTAGGGTGGGATTTCCTTTCTTCTGCTTCCGCGGCTATTTGCTGTGGTCAGCGCGTCTTCCACCTCACCGACACGGACTGCACGCTCAACGACGACCCCCAGAGGCCACTTCGTTTGACAGCTGTGGAAAATACCGAATTACCGCCAGGTCAAGAGCAAAAATTAACTATTACCTCGAAAAGACATCGACCATGGCGACGTCTTCGTCTCACCATCATTTGTGTCGGTAAAGGCATCATTCTCGCTTCCGGTGTAGTTCGGTTTCTCAATGGTTCCGCACTTGTCACCGCCGTGCATACAACATCCGAAAAAATTGTACTTCCTCAGAACACCACGATGGCCTGCGTGACAGATCCCTAGCCTGCGTGCATCGTGCCACTTCATGCCGTATCCTCCAACAACAGCCCCAGTGGTGAGCCTGCTTCTTCCGCATTTAGTGCAGCCATTAGCGACGACTTGACACCTTCACAGACGCAACAGCTACTTGCTTTCATAAAGAAACACGCAAGTTCCTTTGATGTTTACTCCTCGACGCTGGGCCGCACTACAACTACAATGCATAGAATCCACACAGTCGGAACATCTGTTGTACGCCACCGGCACTACCGCGTGTCTCCTGCTGAGAGAAAAATTACTGAAGAAAACGTAGCTGACATGCTCAAACGAGAGGTAATTCGCCCCTAATTTAGCCCTTGGTCGTCGCCTTTGGTTCTGGTTCTTAAGAAGGATGGCTCCGTGCACTTTTGCGTCGATTAAATGGCGCTCAACAAAATCACTCGCAAGGATCTGTACCAAATGCCTCGCATTGACGAGGCCTTGATGCTCTACAAGGCGCGAAATAATTTTCCAGCCTTGAACTGTGTTCCGGATACTGGCAAATTCCTATGCACGAAGAGGATAAAAAGAAAACGGCATTCGCAACCCTCGACGAGCTATACGAATTCAACGTTATGCATTTCGGGCTGTGCAACACGCCCACTACATTTGAGCGCATGATTGATACCGTGCTGCGCGGCCTCAAATGGAAAACCTGTCTCTCCTACTTGGACGACATTGTCATTTTTTCGTCAACGTTTCCTCAGCACCTACAACGTTTGGATGACGTTCTGACGTGTCTTGCCGCCGCTTGTCTCCAACTCAACACAAAATGCCGTTTCGCCACAAAAGCTATGAAGGTCATGGGCCACGTCGTGACCTAAGACGGAATTTGGCCGGATCCGGACAAAATAGCGGCGGTGCTTCGCTTTCTGCGCCCCGAAAGGCCGATGGAGTTGCGAAGTTTTCTTGGTCTCGCCTCCTATTTTGGCCGTTTTATACACAACTTCGCATCAATAGCGGCTCCACTGCACCAGATTCTTGCTTCCAACGTGCCCTTTCTTTGGTCAGAAGAATGTCAAATAGCATTCGACCTTTTAAAGTGTGCCCTCACGTCAGAACCTCTACTCCGCTACTTTGATGAGGCCGCACCGACCATCCTACATACGGACGCTAGCGGCCGTGGTATAGGTGCTGTTTTGTTCCAACGTGACACCTCTTCACAAGATAGAGTAGTTGAACATGCCGGTAAAGTTCTAACTTCGACCGAGAAGAACTATACCTTTACCGAGCAGGAGTGCTTGGCTGTGGTCTAGTCAGTGCAAAAGTTACGTCCCTAAGTTACGGCCGTCATTTTACGATCGTTACGGACCACCACGCCCTATGCTGGCTTTCCACGCTGAAGAACTTGTCTGGACGCATAAGTCAGGTAAAAAACACCAAGACGCCAACGCCCTTTCGCGTTGCCCACTACCAAATACCCAGCTCAGCATCAGTCAAAGTTCGGCCATCACTTCTACTGCAGCGCCCACGCTCGCCTCAATAGACCAGCTATTCTCGGATTACAAGCACATGTTTCACTTCTGCCAGTTGTCTGATCCTACTAGGCGTATTATGAACCAGCTTTTACGAGCTTCCCATCCACTTAACGCGCGACATCGTCATCAACTCTAGCGATAATAAAGCTGGAGAATGGAGTTCTGTACCATCACATCTACCACCAAGATGGTCAATGATGGGTTCCCGTGCTACCACGCTCTCTTCAACTTGACGTGCTTAAAGCCTTCCACGACGAAGTGACTGCCGGACATGTTGATATTCAAAAAACTTACGACCACATTCGAAGTCGGTTCTACTGACCTGGTATTTCTACAAGCATCGCGCGCTACGTCGGTTCCTGTGTCCCGTGCCAGCGTCGTAAAATCCAGACAACTGCCCTGGCTGCGTCTCTGCAGCCGATTCCATGCCTTCCAACGCCATTTGAGCTTGTAGGTATCCACCATTACGGCCCTCTTCCTGTCACATGTACTGGCAAACGATGGAGTAGTGACCTCAGTAGATCACTTGACACGCTACGCGGAGACAACGTCAGTATCAAATGCCTCTGCTTCGGAAGTTGCAGACTTCGTTCTGCACGCCATCATTCTGCGCCATGGCGCCCCTCGTATATTGCTTGGTGACCGTGGAAAGATCTTCCTGTCAGAAGTGCTGAATGAAGTATTGCGGGCCTCTGGAATAACACACAAGACAGCTTCAAGCTACTACCCTCAGACCAACGGTCTCACCGAGATGCTTCACCGTACTCTTGCTGATATGATAGCCGTCTACATCAGCCCAGACCACAAAATCTGGGATACTCTTCTGCCATTCCTCACCTTTGCCTACAACATGGCCATTCAGTGCACCACCGGATATTCGCCGTTCAACCTCGTTTATGGGCGTTCCCCTACTTTCTTCCTTGACGTTTCCTTTTTCAACAGTGACGTCAACCTGTCTCCGTCTTCTAGCAAAGAATACATTTCGAGACTAGCCCGGTGCCGCGATCGTGCTCGCATCAACACGGAAGCGTGACAGCAAGATCGGAAAGTCATTTATGACGCATCCCATCATCTTGTATTCTTCCGACCTGGTGACGAGGTGCTCCTATTCACGCCTATTCGTACGCTTGGTCTGTGTGACGAATTTCAGCCACGCTTCGTTGGGCTTTACATAGTTCTCGAGCAGACTTTGCCCGTTAATTATCGCGTGACCCCACTTGTCGTCCCAACAGGCCGTCGTCACCGCACCACAGAGATCGTGCACGTGTCTCGCATGAAGCCTTTCAGGCGACGTTGTCTGTCACATTTACTTGCTATGGCCAGGCAGGCCGCTTCAATGTGGGGGCAATTACGGTGGGCATTCATCATGCGCTTGTTTCCATATATGCATTATCTTAATCATCATCATCCGTCTAGGTCTCTGTCCTCATCTTCACTGGGTGTCAGCACAATCATCATCGGGTGTTGTGTGCACCGCTCGCTCTCAGACTGCCTGTTCGCTGCTGAGCCCTTGGGCTGAATAAACGCTGTCTCAACCCAGACGTCATTATATATATATATATATATATATATATATATATATATATATATATATATATATATATATATATATATATATATATATATATATATATATATATATATTGCTGCGACAGGTTTGCCACATTCAAGTAGCCCGCCACAATCATCGTGGCACCAGCACCAGCAAGACCCGGCTCGGCTGGCATGCGCCACGCGTTCGTACGCTCCAACAACGAGGAAGAGGAAGATAGTCGGATCTGTGCCACTTGGCTACTCGAACTTGACGACCATAGTTTTTAGAATCGTGGGCACAAGTTCGCCCTAATAAAGGCGCTTGTTTTTTTAACCTGTCGGCGTCAGCATCGCTACATTTCTGGTGGAAGGGCTGGGTTATGAATCGAAGCCCCGCGAGCTCTAGACAGCGTAGCCCCGACGACCAGCGTATCAACCCCGTGGAAGTGACTCCTGTACACAAGAGGGCAAGTCGCCGTCTTCGAGTTTGGTCCTCTTCACTTCACACTAAGGGGAATTCAAACGATGGATGCCACCACTATGACTAGCGAGGTAACACCGGCACAAGTGTTCATTAGCCAACAGCACCAGCCGCCAGTTTTCCACGGCGACTCGTACGAGGATGTTGAAGATTGGTTGGACCTGTTCGAGAGAGTAGCGAGCTTGAATGGATGAGACTAAAGAGAGAAGCTCCGTCGTGTATACTTCGCCCTGGAAGACTTCGCGAAGACATGGTTTGAGAACCATGAAACCTCGTTGTCTACCTGGGAGGTATTTCGACGACAAGCGGTGGCTACGTTCGCGAACATAGACCGGAAAGAAAAGGCGGAGGCAGCTCTTCAATCTAGGAACCAGCTAACGAACGAGAGTGCTGCTATGTACATTGAGGACATGGTCCGCCTGTTCAAGCGTGCGGATTACAACATGGCTGAGGATAAAAAGGTGCGCCATCTAATGCGCGAAGTGAAGCAAGAGCTGTTCGCCGTTCTCGTCCGCAACCCTCCGAGCACAGTTGCTGAGTTTTACTCGGAAGCGACGGCCATCGAAAAAACACTGGAACAGCGGGCTCGGCAGTACAACCGGAATCTTAACTGCGCATCTGCACAGGTATTCTCCGGAGGCGTGCGAAACTACGTTGAAGCCCTGCGAGAGCTAATTAGATCAGTTATCAGAG